GCGAGAAAGGGATAGTGTAAAAAGACATCAACGCGTTCACCAAAAAATAAATACAATTAACAGCAATTTAATATAACAGTATTTTTGTCTTTTTGTAATGCATTTAAACTAACCAGTGAAAAGTAGTACCATTTTTTTGAAGACTGGAAGTTGTACTCGACTTTCCACACAATTTAATTGCACAGTACGGCATTTTTTACAGTTTTTTAACATGAAAACGAGAGAAGCAGTTCGACCAACGCTCGGTTACCGAATGAAACGATGTATCGCGACGTCTGTAGGCGTGCCTCACGCATAGGTAAAATACTACTTAAGCTTGGCGTAAGCGCTTGCCCTTGTATGCGGACTCTAGTGGGGGTGCTCCGTGGCTTAGCTGTAGGAGAGTTTTGGAGAAGGCAGCGTTCACCCGTGGCAAAGCGAGCTTGGTCTGCCTGCTCATCTCCAGGTCGAGCCAGTATTGCTGGTGTAGGTAGTGCGGCAGTGTGCTCGCGGATTTTATTGACGAGACAGCTTACCGGTATTGGGATGATTGGTTCAGGACCTGTTGGGGTCGTATCAGATCCCTTCCGGGCCAGCTCATCCGCAGCGTCGTTTCCGCGTGATCCACTGTGTCCCTTGATCCATTGGATGGTAATAGAATTGCTTGACCCTACCTTGTTTAAGGTTTGGTGGCATTCTTGTAGGAGGCTCGATTTGACTAAACAGGCATCTAGAGCTTGTAGCTTGAGTGTTTACCCATTCCTTCAGTATACCGTTGAGATGCCTTGCTCTTTCGAACCTTACCAGTCCAAACTTTTGTAGTCTCAACGCTGTTTTAGCCGCTTCCTGTCTTATGTACATATGGAGCGGTGTGATGTTTAAAATTACTTCCAGTGCTGCGGTTGGAGCTGTACTCGGTCACCGCGCTGCATATCTGCCGCTGGAAGCTTTGTTGTTTGTTGACACAAGTAGTCTGGATAGATCTCAGCCACCATATGATGGCGCCATAACTTACTATTGGTCGTATGACTGTGTAATATAACCATAGGAACAGTTTTGGTGCAAGACCCCAGCGCTTTCCTAACATTTGACGGCATTGCCAAAGTGTTACGCTGGCTCTCTTGATTTTGTGTTCCACATGGTTACTTTAGCTTACTGTCAAGTATAAGGCCTAGATACTTTACCTCCTTCGACAGTTGTAGTGGAATACCAAACAGCTTCGGCAAGTTGAAAGCACCTACGTCCCGTTTGGTTGTAAACATAACCATTTTGCCTCATTCACTCTCATAAAATTTTTGATAGATGCACATCGTTTGGGAGTAGTTCAGATCCTGGCCTTTCTTTACTTCTTATACAACTAAATCTCAGGTTGCAGGTACGTCGTTGAAATAATGAATAACCATATGTTTTCTATTACAGTTAGAAGGTAGTACATATACTTAGATTAAAACAAAAAGGGAAGATACGGCACTCGAGGTTCAAAAGTGTACAATTCGCTTTAGTCACAATTGGAAAATCAGACACGCTGTATGTTCACTCAATATAACAATATTGCGTATATTCTGAGTGTAAAGCGATGAGGACTCGCCGTTTCGCTCGCGCTGCGTTGAAGCGTGCAGTACCCCTAGCACGAACCATTATCGAATTCGAATAGTTTGCGAATGCGAAATGTCAATGTCAAATTTGGTATTGAAATTTGAACAGCAGCGCCACAAAGTACGTAATTTGAACTAAAAATCAGTACACAGTTGACAATGACGTTTCGGACTCGCACACTATTTGAATTCGGTAATGGTTCATGCTAGGGGTACAGTTCTGTCTCGCTCGCTCGATTGAACGTTTATTTACAGTAGTATAGTGTTTTGGTCGGAGCATATTTTATTTGATGATAAGAGTACCGTATCTTCCTTTTTTGTTTAATCTAAGTACATATAATTTGGAAGAGCTCGATGGCGCAAGTGGTTAGGGCGTTCGGCTGCGATCGTTGAAGTTAAGCAACTTTTGCAGTCGTCGGTTATTGGATGGGTGACCAAAATTATACCTACTTACTCGAGCTCCTCCGTGCTTCGGAAGGCACTTTAAGCCGTTGGTCCCGGCTGCAACTGCAGTCTTTAGTACCCACCAATCCCTCCTGAGCCTGCGTGGTGGATCTTAGCCCAGTCTCTTCATTCTATCCATAGGAAAGGCCCCACCAGCGGGGACATTAATATGCTGATGATGATGACGACATATACTTTCCGTAGGAAAATCCAGTGGCGGATTTACCTCAAGGCCCGGTAGGCCCGGGCTTAGGGCGGCGAGATTTAGGGGCAGCCCCAATCGACAAAATTGAGCGCGTCCGAAATCAAAGAAAAGGCCAAAGCATTGCAAATAATTTATTCTACTGACTTAGAAGACGATTTTTCAGAGAATGTCTCCATTTTCGTGTTCATTGCACTAAAAAAATGATGATCGGAACAGTGCTGTCAGTTTGTTGAAATGGCTACGAACTTAAGGTCTTCAAAGCACCCAAACGTGAATATTGCTCTTAGTTGGTGTGTGTACTCCCAACCAGTAACAGTCCTGGAGAAAGATCGTTATCTTGTTTACGACGAGTAAAAAAAATGGTTGCCTGTAAAGTCGGTTTTACGGGCGAAGATTTTACGTGACAACGTCTTTTTCTCGGTAGAATATTTATTGATATGAATATAATTAAATTGCACAATAGGAACAAGGAATTGAATGAAAATAAGAATTGCACAAATTTTAACTATAGAAATATATTTTGTTTACTAAAACATTGTACATGTAAACTTAAACTCATCGTAACGTTACCGAGCGTTACACTTTTTCATAAGTGACTCCCAGCCGCAACCTAATTTAAGACGTTGTCACGTCAAAAATATTTAGGACAACAATGACATACCAATAGTTAAACGATCTTGCTTTGCTTTAAAAAGAAGCTATTTTTTTATATTGGATTGCGAAGATTTAATTAATGATTTTGCTGCACTAAAGTGCAGTTGAGTTTTGTAACACATTGTAAAAACACTAATTATATCTTATCTTGACTCTAAACCTGTAATTAAACAAATAAAGCCTAAAACTGTTTTAATGTTTTATTTAAATTGTGCAATTATTCCTGAATCTTCGTAAAATATTAGAAATTAGCAGCTTATAGTTACTTTGACCCACACTACCTACCCGTACTTGCGATAACAAGTAGCTCTTTACAAATTAATTATGTTTAATTAGTTATTCAAATATTTAACTCGCAATTAAGCGTTAAAAGTTAATAACACTTATTTAGAAGTTATCATAACCAAGCATGCCAAGTTGGCAGAGTATGTTAAAGCAAGTAACTAATTGTAACAACTTATGTACCTTATTCTTGCGAAATATTTTTTTTCCACAAATTTCTAAATCTAATTAGGTAAAAGTTGGCAATAAAGTAATTACATTATGTAGTCTACAAGGCCACTCAGAAAGTTTTGCGAATAAAAGTTTTTATGTACAAAATTTTTTTTAAATCTTCACACAAGATCTTTTTTTCAGTTTTCCCAATTACATTGTTAATAATAGCTTGTACCTTTGTACGCTTAAGTTTTAAATTTTTGGCTATGCCTGATTCCGTAAAAGTTTTTGCCAAAAGATCGCACATGTGATCCGCCACTCGATGAGATAATTTATATTCGGCCATGAAGGCAGCTAGCTTTATTTCCGCTATTTTTTGTTTATCGCCGATGGGTTCCAATTTTTTAAACATACTGTCACATACATGGGCTGAACGTTTAAACGTTAAGTTTTAAAATGTTGTAAATGTTTTGTACCTTCAGAATGTTTTTTATAATAGTTAATTCTGCAATCATCGTTGTATCGCAAAATGAGCAGAAAACTTTATATTGGTCTTTAGGATGTTGCTGAAGCCAAGGGGAAAAAGCTTTATTATTCCGCCACTCATTTTTGAATTTTTGTTTATAATGCTTACGTTTTTGTCCAGTTTTCGGAATCTTGGATGATGACACGCTCCTTTATCTGTCTCGTAGCTATCAGTACCACTACCCATTTTCATGTACTTTGTGTCGAACGAAAATAAATATTGTTTCACTGATTAAATACACTGCGCACTTGCCAAACATTAAACAACAAACAAAATTATCGAAGAAAAATCAAATAATCAAATAAATTATTATTTTTATTGACTGTCAAGGTAATTCATAATTGAAAATACCGTAGAAAAGTACAAGGCGGTGAAACATTACCGAAGACCGTGTTTTAGCCAAAAATACCGTGAATCTACGGTAATTACCGTGTACCTGGTAACACTGGTCACCCTACACATAAAATTTTACAACTAGCATACGCCTCATTTTCACACCATTTTGTATCAAAAAAATATATCAAAATAATTTGTAGTGAGCATAAATATCGCCATATTGTTTATTGAAAGCATCATGCATAAATGCAATTGTCAATAACTACTTTAAACAATTTTATTAGATAAGTTATCCGTTTTAATAAAAATAAACACATTTTTGGTTGCATTGATATCAATTTACTAACTGCAATCAAACATAAATAATACTAATTTAACTCTCAAACTGTACGTTCTTGTTCTTATAAACGTTTATCGGGATTCGGGCTAGTGCGAAAGCTACAACCATTTGATTATTTTGACAGTTGCAAGAGAGGGACAGATTCCATTTTCGTCGTTGTCTCCCTCGGAGTGTTTTTCCCTCTTATGAAGGTAGAAACAAAAATTGACTTTATGCGTAACTCGTTAAAGTACATTTTTTGAATTTCCATATTGTTTCGTAAACATTCCAGTTAGTATATAAGTTTCTTGGGTCTGAACAAATGCTTCATAATTTTGGGAATATAAAATCACCTAACTCTAACACATTTTTAAATAAAAGAGAAATATTTTAATTTTTGTGACATTTTGTTTTGGTTTTATCTTGAAATCTAAGTTTGGATGGCAGTAATGATTTTCTTTTGCCTTAATCACAGAGGGTAAGATAAAACTATTATAATCAATCGCACAAATGTCAAAATACTGTGATGGATCTGTGAATTGTTTGTTTGTAAGAAAATCTCGTTAGAAAGTAATAAAAAACCGATTTATGCCAGAATTAAATGCCGCCGATAATACACAGAAACAATAATTCTTTCGTCTTATTGCAAAGGATTTATTTGTCATGGTGGCATTATTCTTTTAAGTGGTTAGCCTTGAAGTAGATGTCATCTATTATCGTAAATGAGTCTTGTTTATTCTACATTTTAGTGATATTAGTTGTGTTTTCACGATTATATGGCTTTGATATTTGACTTATGTTTTACGTCAATCCGGAAGAGGCATGTTTTACCCACGTATTAGGGAGAAAGGTGCAGGTTTAGTAATCCTCAGCTGGACTTGTCTAGCTGTTTTGTGCGCCGCATCTACAGCACCCTGCGACAAGACCCGTAGGGTTTTCACGGACAAGAGTGGTATTATCACAGACGGACCCACTAACTCTAACTACACTCAGGTAAGTACCAAAGTTTTGTCTCAATTGCAATTGTAATGATGTAGTTGTGCTGCAAACTATAATTTTCTCTTCTTTTTATAACTTCTAGGACTCTCACTGTGAATGGCTCATCAAAGCTGGAAACAAAAGTCAATTCATAACCCTAAGTTTCCTACGAATGGGCACAGAATGTTCCTATGATTATATATTTGTGTATAATGGGGATTCATTTGATGCTCCATTATTGGGAAGTTTCAGCGGAAAGACTGAACCACAAAATGTTACGGCTTCTAGTGGTTTTGTAAGTATCACAATTATCTATATTTGCGATGATATGATTGGTCTAATATTAATTTGTATGGAGTATATAATAATAAGATTTAAGATTATTTAAATTGTATTTATATTATTTCAGATGCTAATTTTACTATATAGTGATACAAATTATGTATTAGATGGATTTCGAGCAACATATGCAATACATGACTGCCCCAATAACTGCTCAGGGCAAGGAGAATGTGTTACCCACAAGTGTTTCTGTTGGGGGAGATGGGGAGGTCCTGATTGCAGTATAGATCTGTGCCCCAATGGATGTTCAGGCAATGGACAATGCAAAGGAGATAAATGTATTTGTAGAAAAGGGTACCTATTATTAATTATATTTTTCTTTTTGTATTCGTCAAAACAATGACAAATTATTCAACTTTAACAGTTACAGTAAATATTATTATTAAGTAAATATTTTAAGAAAAGAGGGTTGAATTTAAAATATAATATATATTCTTCTTGTTTATAAAATATTTATTTCACTTGAAATTATAGCAATTCCCTTCAGTTTACCTATGTCAAACTCGTAGATTATGCCAGTGAATTGGTTTGTGTTATAGTTATTTTTTTGAGGATGCCACAGGAACCTAAATTGTACTAGGATGAAAAGTATCTAAATCAAATTCCTATGTCTGAATCAAGATAATGAACTAAATGTGTACCAAATTTCAGTTATATCCATTCAGCAGTTTTTTGTTGATTGAGCACCAAATACAAACTTTCGCATTTCTAATATATCAATAAGATGAATGACATCCTACTAGAATAGGGATCATGACTGACTTTTATTTTCTTCATCTATCAGGTAGATTATCAAAATCTATTTGACATGTTATTTTTCTTTATTCACTTAATGTAAATGCAGAGATATATGGATTTGACATATCACCTGACATCACCTCTTGGTAAAATTTTACACTTAGTAGTCCTGACATTAGCAGAATTCTCACATAATGATCAAAAATTGTCAATCAAGCAAAAATTTGCAAATACAGTGCAACCTCGATATAACAAATCGGCAGGTAACAAGTAAATATTTGTTATATCGAGTAATTCTTTAAACTGAGGTTTGTTATATTGAGGTTAGATTGGTCTAAAATTTGTTATAAAGAGGTAAAAAAAATAGTTTTCTGGGGTGACATGAATCACGTAATATGGGATTAAGGGCCATTAATATATTGATGGAAACTTCATAATTGGTCAATGCATCCACCCGGGTATCGAAGGGTGCGGGTTCATGTCCCGTCTGCTGCCTGGTCCGCATGGATTTTAATTTCTAATTATATTTTCTTAAGATTTAAACATCAAGCAGTTACTAGCATAAAAAATAAAAATTATAACTATAATTGCTATTTCTTGTTTCAAATGTTTAATACTTGAAAAAGTATTCATTTGACATTGTGGGTTACCTACAATGCGAGGAGATGGCCGCTGCCTTGCAGCTTAAGAATGGCTAGAAGAATTTCGACGCGGCTATCAGGGCCACGGTAGCATGATTGGTCAGTGCATTCGCCTAGATAGCGAAGGTTGCGGGTTTGAGTCCCGTCTGCTGCCTGATCCGCGTGGAATTTTTTCTAGTTATATTTTCTTTAGAGTTATAAAGAGGTTGTTCGCAATGTAAAGGTATATTTTACATTGACTCTTATGGATAATTCATGGGGGATAACAAAGAATTTTTGAAATCAAGGATGTTGTTCTATGAGGTATGTTATATTAAGGTTGCACTGCATAAAACGCATCAAACCTTGGGAATGCGGCCTAGTTGTCACTAAAAATATGTGTCCATAATTTTTTTATATTCTAACTGAGGGACTAAATAGAATTTTATTTACCTAATTTACCCTGTAATCATCCCTATTATTGACCTTTATCTGTGATCTATAATATGATAAAGAGTATTTTTAAACAAGGTTTATTTTAAAAGAAAATATATTTTTAGCTTCAATCAGCATTGTGAAACAAAGCTAGACAATTTTTAAAATGACTTGTTGTTTTAGTAAGTTGTAATAAACATGCATTTTTTTAGATATTCTGGTGAATCTTGCTCCCTTAAACATAATGACAAGAAAGGCAACAGTTGGCATTGGCTCTCTAGATCTGAAGGTGGGATGACTAGACGTGCAGCTCATACAGCAGTATACATCAACCATACAGACTCTCTTTATGTATTTGGGGGATATGATCTGAATAAAGTTTTGGGTCTCCTAGAAGTGTATAGGTATATACTTCAGTAATATTATTATTTATTCATAAAAAGACAAACATATTATTGATGGTAAACAATATGATAAATGTTGAGCAACAACAAACATTATCTTTATTGATTGCAACAATGTAATTCTTTACATTATTTATTACTTGTTTTCTAATTAACAAATTAGTTCAAAGTGGTTTTTACAATGACCACATTATGCTTAATGTCTATTAATTATTAGCATTTTATAAATCAGGTTTTCAACTAGTCAATGGCATGATGAACATGGAAGAGTGTTAAGAAGATATCCAACAAATGAAGAAATGGATAAATCCTTATTGACTCTTTTTAAAAAGGTAATTTGTTTATATTTTCCCTTCATATAAAATTTATTATAAACTTATGTGGTTTTTCAAAAGAAAAAGTACAGTACAAATTAAAAGATGTCCAGTCTACTTATACTTGTAATTACCAAGTTAATCATCCTACTTTATTGTTCATAACAGGGCAATAATGACGGCAGCTGGCACATCGGAAACGGAAGTTCATTGTTTACTTTAATTTTGTCATCATTCTCAAATCCTGACAAAACGACTCTACCTCTCATGTATTCCCATTCACCCACGCCATATTCTGAAAGTTACCTACAGTTCACTGACCGACCAGAATTGATGACTATGAAATCCAATTATACTAAACCTGAACCTAGATATGGTCATTCAGCTTGTGCTTATGGTAATGGTTTTGTTCTCTATGGAGGGAAACTTTCTGATGGCAGTTTGTCATCAGAGTTGTGGCTGTATGATGTTAAGATAAATGTGTGGAGTTTAAGGGCTATTAATTCGACTTTTGTCCCTCCGGGTCTTACAAGGCATACCCTAACTGCAGTGAGAGATGAGCTGTATCTTTTTGGAGGCAGCACAGTAGAAGGAGAATTCTCTTCAAGGTATATATATAGTCGTCTTAAATAACATTACAGCAACATGGGCTGTAAAGGAAATTTAATTATTTTTCTTTGTAGCATGTACAAGATCAAACTAAGTGATGTTAGTACGGAGTCTTGGGAGAAAGTGCATGTAAGAGGAGGCAAGGAATTGGATGTACGCGTCGTCGCTCATACAGCGGTATACCACTCGCATTCAAATTCTATTTTAGTTTATGGTGGTGTAGTTGCCAGCGTTGCTAGGTAAAAGAAAATAATTTAAGTTTCAAAATGAACCTTTCTCCTAAACTGTATTACAATATGCATAATACTTTTTACAGATTTTCAAAACTATCTGATAGAATGTTCGCTTTTGACATAGACTACAAACATTGGAGTGAAATACATTACCCCAGAGCTCATCTGCGAGATACATATGTACCTAGAGAAAGAGCATTTCATACTTCTACAGTAATTGGTAATGAATTTGGTTATTTCATCAAATTTTAATATTGAATAGAGATGATGACAATTTATTTTTTTTCGTTTATCAGGTAGATTATCAAAAAGTATTGGACACGTATTTTTTCTTTTTTCACATAATACAAACATTGCAGAGATATATTGATTTGAAAAGTCCATGACGTCACGTTTGAGTACACTTATAAGTGAAAATTCACTCAAAAGTGACGTCACGAGCCCCTACTCCCAAACTTTGACGCGCTATAACTTTGTCATTTTTTGGTTGATTGCCCAAAGAAAAAATACGTGTCCATTATTTTTTGATCATCTAACTGACGGACTAAATAGAATTTCGTTTACTGTACCCCGTCATCACCCCTATTGACTTGCTACTGTTATAATCATTTCTCAATACTTTATCCTTAAAATCATAAAGCTCTTGTTTACATACAAAAAACAACAAAGCTCAAACATTTTCTTTTAGGTAATTACCTAGTAGTGTTTGGAGGATATTCTCATCGTCATAACAGAGAAGAGATTTGTTACGACGGTCAGATGTACCTATATCACCTGGGCTGTCACTCATGGATCCCTTTAGATGTTTTGGGCAAGATACCTAAGTTTTATCCGAAAAAACAGGGTGTCTTCGCGCATGCTGCTGCACTCAAGCCACCATCAACTTTATTGATTGCTGGTGGATATCACGGAAATGTTAATGGTAAAAATTATTACCTATTTTCTTTTTTGCTCCGTATGTTTTTCTATTATTTTAAATTATTAAAGAGTTAATCAATTTATCTGCCTTGAAATCGATCTTATTGCTCGTGGTGGATTATTAAGTATATTAAATTATCTTTGTCTGTATCAGGGGACTTACTGGCATATGTTGTGCCGAGTTGGCAGGCCGGTATTAGTAATGATAACCCAGAGTCCGCGTGCCCTAAACATCATACGCAACCTGAATGCCTCGCAGATCCGGAATGTGGCTGGTGTTCGGCTGATGATGTAAGTGCTCAGAAACAAAAAACATAATTATAAGTATATAATTAAGACTTATTAAAAAATTTTGATTTTATAAATGATATCAAGACGCTACCGTATTCAAATTGTTAGATATATATATCTCCTTAGATATTACTTTATATTAGTGAAAAGGAACTTTGTAATGAGTGACAAAAACGTAAATAAGTCACTATTTAATTTCGATTTAAAATGCAAATTGATAAAAATATTGCTAGCGAAAAGAAACTCTGATCTGAAATATTCTTCTTTAAAATAATGTATAGGCGGAAAACCTGTTTTTTTGGCCTACTATAACAAATACCTATGCATATCAATTAAATTACGACGTAAGCGGATTACTTATTCTAAATATGTAACTCATTAGAGGTAGGTGTCAATAAATAAAACACGACTGGAATAATCTGAAGTATTTTGTATCTTTATATATATAATTCTTCTGTGAGTGTGTATGTCACTGAACTTCTCTTAAACGACTGGACCGATTTTGATGAAATTTTTTGTGTGTGTTCAAGGGGATCTGAGAATGGTTTAGATTCACAATTTTGTCCGCTGGACAACCCCTATTTTTTTAGGGCGGTACGAAGTTCGCTGGGTCAGCTAGTATACAATAAATATTGTTATTATGTTTTAGTTATCATCCAGTTCTACCTTACGTTACGTATTATTAGTCACACGTTTTAAACAACTAAAGGCAAAGAAAATAAAAACCTTTCAATATGATGACACGTTATTTTAATATTTTTACCTCAAAGCTGGCGCCCGGCTGTCCGTTCACCTTATTGTAAGGCCGGCCCTGAATATAGATATGTACCGCTATTTTTAATACAATCACAACCTTGTAGATTTGCTATGGAAGAACAATAGGATCAAACTGCACGACAAATTTGCAATCGATTCGGTGCGGTGGCATTTGTCCTGCCCTCGGAGACTGTCGCTCCTGCTTGATACATGGCCCCCCGCCTAGTGAGAATGGCACGCGAACACCTCTGCCCTCAGTCAGCACTAAGCTGGGCCTTTATAAGTGCAGCTGGTGCGTACAGAATGCCCGCTGTCACCATAAAGATGGTAAGCACACCTAACTACGACGATAAATAATTCGTTTGTATTTTTTTAATAATTGTTTATAATTTTTGCTTTTTTAGACAATTATGGAGTTTGTGGCGAAGACACTCCATCAGAAAATCCCGGTTGGTGGGGCACGACCGGTACAGAAGTAACTACACCCGAGGAATGTAAAATTTTAGACAAACGACCCGGCCTTACGTTCCTCAGATACCAGCAGCCCGCTGATTGGAATCACCCAGATGCTGTTTCAGTGGTAAACGCTACTACAGTAGACTGGGGTACAGGAGGTGGCAGCAATCATATTTTCAGTGGTTCCAGTGAAGCGAGGCTCAAGGGATGGTTGCATATACCTCAGTATTGGAATGGAACGGGAGAACTGTTACATATCTGTGCTGGTTATTCGAATATATCTCTCACTTTAGGCGAAAACACTGAATCCGTAGCAAATTTGACTGCACAACCGTCTGCTTGTTCTCTTGTTGATTGGCCAGCACTGTTCCCTGGTCGCTTATCGGTCGATATGCACGCTAATGATTCTCTACACACTGGCCTCTATCCATCGCATCACCATGCAAAAATGGAATTATTACATAACAAATCTCAAGAAAGTGCAAAGGTAATAAACATTTTAATTACTTATTTATCTGATAATTGTATTTTGATATCGAATATTTTTTTTTTTTCTACCTTTTTTGCAGGTATTTACTTTCGAGTTTCTGGAACCGTATTCAGACGGCCAATGTGAAAATTACGGCAACTGCTTATTGTGTTTATCAGATGCTGCATGTGGTTGGTGTGAATTGACAAATCGTTGTGAACTGAGAAATTCGGATGAAAAAATCATGTGCGCAGCAGATGGGGAATGGAGATACCTCACGCTACAACCGGCTGCTTGTCCAAACTGCTCAAATTATATAAGTTGCGAGAGATGTGTTTCCGGTAATTTTTGTGAATGGTGGGCTGATGAGGCAAGATGTGCTCGACGAGGGCGAGCTAGTGGTGCCATCGTGGATGTCAGCGAATGTCCAGCTCCTTGTCGTATGCGTCTAGATTGTGAGAACTGCCTCGACGAGCGCGGGCGTTGCGTTTGGTGCGAGGCCACTCGACAATGTTTCAGTTTTAGTGTTTACACCAGCGAATACCAATTCGGTCTCTGTCGTGAATGGCTCGATCGCGCTTCTTCGCCTACCGATGACGCTACCCGCAAATCAGGCCAATGCAAATCTTGTCAAGCTCACGCACAATGCTCGACTTGTTTGAGGAGTATGGGCTGCGGGTGGTGTCACTCACATGAAAATCCAATTAAAGGTATATGTACAGAAGGTGATTTTACGCGTGCTCATGTGAATTGCGCATCGCTTTTAAATGTAACATCTAGTGATGCTGGCTGGGCGTATGCTCAATGTCCTGATGTTGACGAGTGCGGACTTGGCCTTCACGACTGTCATGAACATGCTGTATGTAATAACACCCATGGTTCATATACTTGTAAATGCAAACAGGGATATATTGGAGATGGTAAGAAGAGTTGTATGAGAACATGTTATAACAATTGCATCCATGGTTATTGCCTAGGAGCTCCTCAATACAAATGTCAATGTGATCTTGGATGGACGGGTGCGGATTGCTCAATAAATTGCGGGTGCCATAATCATTCAACTTGTAAGACTGGTGTAGGTAGGTGTGACGAGTGCCAAGATTGGACGGAAGGAGAATTTTGCGAATCTTGTAAGCCCGGTAGTCATGGTAATGCTACGACCGGGCAAGGTTGTCGGCGGTGTGATTGTAACGATCATGGCGATGAAACACGCGGTGTCTGTGATGTTGCAACGGGTGAATGCATTTGCAAAGACAATACTGTTGGCCAGAATTGTGAACGGTGTAAGCTTAACTTTTATGGTGATCCAAGACATGGCGGACGTTGTTATTATCAATGTGAACCTCGAGGAATGTTAAACGCATCGGAGACCGAAGGTATAGGTTCTTATAAGAGAGATATAAAACCAATTGGACCTTCCAAAGAATGTTTATGGATTATATCAGCTGACGATATAAAGGATGCCATTATACAATTTACTATAAACTCTTCTACTTCTGACGTGCCATGTGATGAAAATGCAGTGTATGTATACGATGGTTTGGGTGGTGTACCTGATATGATTAACAACCAACAGAGTCAACTTCTTGGTGTATTTTGCAATGGAGCATCCTCGGGAGTAGTGGAAGCCCGAAGTGGAAACTTAACAGTACATTATAAACAAGGCAAGGAGGAACAAGGTTTTGAGGGAGTATACAAGGTACTGGCATGTGATGATCATTGTCCATGGCCTAGAGTATGTAACAAACGGCACTGTGTATGTAGAGAAGGATTCGGTGGAACTGATTGTGACATTGAAATCTGTAGGAATAATTGTAGTATTGCAATTGGTGCCGGGACGTGCGACACTAGTTATGGCCGCTGTCTCTGTAATGAAGGTTATGGTGGGGATGACTGTTCTATAAAATTGGATAGAACCCAATTGGTATTTACGGAACTTTTTAATTCTGAGTATTTGATGGAAGGCTTAGACCATCTCAGGAAAACATTGCCAAGATTTGGACATAGTTTGGTTGCAGATAGAAGAGGCCTATGGATGTTCGGAGGGTATTCGCTTTCTCATGGGCCCTTGAATGACATTCGATTTTTCGATACTAAAAACAATACTTGGATGCAAGTAACTGTGGAAGCTACGCCCGATGCGAAAATGCCGGAAGGTCGGTATTTCCATGGAGCTGAAATTTATCATTCTAAGCAAAATATATACATTTACGGAGGGCTGAGTCTACAGGAGAAAAGTGCCCATAATAAAACTCTTGACGATTTCTGGCAGTTTAGCTTGAAAGATCAAAGGTGGGGCATTATCAAAACAAAAGAGGAACAGCCACCGCCCCTCGCGGGGCATACGTTGACGTTACAAAAATATCAGGATTATGAAAGTCTGGTTTTGATTGGAGGTTTCTCTATGGAAAATGGTTTCATGGATGATGTGTGGGAGTTTGACTTGGACAATGATAAATGGATAAAACTGAACTGTGGAGGTGCTAAACCTTCTGGTCTAATCGGACATAGTTCTGTCTACCACGCACCCTCGCAAAGCTTATACATATATGGAGGTATTTTGTACGCCTACAATGGCACATCAATGTCTAATAAGCTCTTCTCTTTTCACTATCCAACCAAACAATGGAGTGAGCTCCCGAATTTTCCGAATTTAAATCACTACGAGCGACTGCCGCAACCTACTTATCTACATTCTGCTGTTACCACAAACGAATACATGATTGTTTTTGGGGGTCGGACGGAGCCTGATAATAGATCTGACAATTTAATAGCGTACGTGTACAGTTGTAATCAATGGGTTAGACTTGTGAAAGGTAAGTAGTGAACTGATGTTTCCTTACCATAACTTCCTTCAAACGTATTTTTTATATCACTCTTTTATTATTTTCAGGAGTTAGTATTGTTGGTCATCCACCTCCACCGACAATAGCTCATGCAATGGCCATAGACGTCGAGTCGGAAAATGACGGCTACATATACATAATCGGTGGCTGGACGGGCAGTGCGCATTGTCAAGTGACGCGTATATCTCTTCCCGAAGACCTATGTTCGCTATGGAGTACAAGCAAAATGGAATGCCGCAGTCACATGGGCTGTAGTTTCTGTAGCACTGGGAATTATACTAAATGTTACTCCGTCGATAAACCCGGTTGCGAGGGTAGCGACAGGGTGTCCACTAATTCTGGTGCGGCTTGTGACGCAGAACTGGTTTCGAGGCGATCTTGTGAGAATTTCACTACGTGCTCTTCGTGTTTGGCAGCTTGGCCTTTATACCCTGAGGAGAAACCGGCCTGTCGTTGGTGTGAATCTTGCGCTGCTGCAGTTGGTTCGTATTCAAACACTTAATTTATTGTAATACTTTATCATTTTCATGCAGCAATATAAAAATAAACGGAATCCATTTTTATTTTAGGTGAATGTGTACCTACGGATGAATCTTGTACAAGCATTAAATGTAATGCAGGCACCACATACATAAGTGACGTAGATCAGTGCCCTGAATTGAGATGTGTTGCGCCTGATTGCGAAAAATGTGTGTCAAACCAATGCACTTGGACTCGAGAAGCTAGCAGAGAAGGTAACGTTGACAAATCAACTTGGTCTATTTCAGTAGCACTAGAATATGCCTGTATTTTTTTAACATTGCGGTTTCGGGAATGGCTCGCTAACTTATGATAATAATGACCTAATTCTTTTAAAAAAGCTATTAATGTTCATGTTTCTTACCTTTTATCTTGTGTGATAGACATGGAACTCCTTTTGCTTGACTGAAACCGATCTGTTAATCGCCGCATTAGTCACTAATTCCATCGCTGTTTTTATTTTCAGGGCAATTGACGAGAATCTTAGAGGACCCTTCTGAAGAGTTTTTCAACTGGACGTGCACACAAATCGAGGAACAAGGGCGTACTAGTTTGCGACCCACCACAAAAGAGGAATGTCCAAGTCGATGCCACACGTACACCGACTGTCAATCGTGTTTGAGCTCTGACGGAGCCGAGGGGGGTTATTCGGAATGCCATTGGGCGACGTATCTCGGCAAGTGCATATCCCCGGCTTACCAGCCCGTGTACTGTGCTGGTGGCGTTTGTGGTCTGGTGCTGACTAAAGCAGACAAGAACAAGTGTCCCGCGCCTTGTGCAACATTCACACAGTGCTCGGAGTGTTTACATCATTCCCATTGCGGTTGGTGCGCGATAGCTGGCGCTAACGGTATGGGAGTGTGCGCAGAAGGCTCTATAGACACACCGCTAGATTACTCGACGCGGACAAACTGCTCCGCGGTGTTCAACCGCCAACGTCAGTTGATCAGTAATACCTACAATTACACGTGGCACTACACTCGATGTCCGCCGGAGAATGAGTGTAAGAATCACCATCATCAGTGTAAAGAAGATTCTGAGGTAAGATTTTTTAATCAGATATGACATACCGTTTGGCTGGTTACCTTAATGGTCTGGAAGCGAAAAACGTACAGAAAACGACCACTAGTTATTTTGTTTTATAATTTAAGCTAATATTTCTGAGAAGATTGATAAGTATAATACAAAAGTCTTATTTATAAAAATCCACATGAAGTTCATAGTCACAAATTTTTGACAGTTTTGGATAACTTCATCTGTGCCAGTCTTATCTGTCCATGCAATAACAGGACATACATTCGTAGTTTACTACAACGATTCGAATTTTGGTAAAATAACCTGCCGTTGTCATTTTGGACTAGCTCTTCCCTAGCATGACGCGATGTGATCAAAACGCGATGTGATAAAGCAATTTATCGACATCGGTAGTCATACTTCAACAGAGTTTGACTCTTGAGTGTCGATATAAATATTTACCATGTATCACTAGCGGCCGCCCGCGTTAGCTTTAGTTTTTTGAGAATCCCTCAGGCACCCAACATTTTTTCGGAATAAAAAGCATCCTATGTCTTAATCTAGGTAATAAATATATGTGTATCAAATTCCATCCAAGTCCTTTGAGCCCTTTTGCGTCATTGAGTAACAAAACAAACATACAAATGCACAAAAATACTAACTTTCACATTTATAATATCAGTGGGAAGTAGAATCGATATCCGGCGTTATCTGCTACTACGGCGCTGGAATTTCCTTAAATCCAGTTGTCAAGATCTTCTTTTAAAAACATGTTTTTCTTTTGTTTTTACTGGATTCGAGCAATAGTTAAACTGCTTCGTATTTCGCTACGTAGGTGTGTCACGATCTGCCCGAAGGGTACGAATGCGCTTGCGGGGTGGGCCACAAGCGGTCCCCCGCCGGGGTCTGCGCTGCCGTATGCTCGCAGGGCTGCGTGCGAGGCGTTTGCGTGCAGCCCGACGTCTGTCGCTGCGATTTCGGCTACGTCGGCGCCAACTGCACCATACAGTGTCAGTGCAACGGCCACTCGCACTGCGAGGGACCCGACAAGCTCGACCAGTGTATCGAGTGCCACAATAACACTATGGTGAGTAATATGATGTTTGTACGATGGGGCAAAAACCCGATAAGTGCTGGAGCGAATAGCTACATATTAGTGCCGGTGCAACAGCCACTCGCACTGCGTGGGACCCGACAAGTTCAACCAGTGTAACGAGTGCCACAACAACACTATGGTGAGTAATATGATGTTTGTACGGTGGGGCAAAACCCGATAAGTCCTGGAGCAAATAGCTACCATATTAGTGCCAGTGCAACAGCTACTGCCACTGCAAGGGACCCGACAAGCTCGACCAGTGTATCGAGTGCTACAACAACACTATGGTGAGTAATATGATGTTTGTACGGTCGGGCAAAAACCCGATAAGTGCTGGAGCGAATAGCTACCATATTCCTTTCGGCTACGTCGGCGCCAACTGCACCATACACTGTCAGTGCAACGGCCACTCGCACTGCGAGGGACCCGATAAGCTCAACCAGTGTATCGAGTGCCACAACAACACTATGGTAAGTAATATGATTTTTGCAGGGCGGGGAACTAGCCTGACGCCGTCAGAAAAGTTTACTAGAAAAAAATCCACGCGGACCAGGCAGCGGACGGGACTCGAACCCGCATCCTTCGCAATCCGGGCGAATGCACTGACCATTATGCTACCACGGCCCTATTCGCCGCGTCGAAATTTTCCTAGCCTTAAGCTGCAAGGCAGCGCCATCTCTTCGCATTGTGGGTAACCCACAATGTCAAATGAATACTTTTTCAAGTATTAAACATTTGAAAGAAGAAATAGCAATTATAGTTATGTTTTTATTTATTTTTTAAGCATTTAACTGCTAGATGTTTAAATCTAAAGAAAAGTTTACTAGAAAAAAATCCACGCGGACCAGGCAGCGGACGGGACTCGAACCCGCATCCTTCGCAATCCGGGCGAATGCACTGACCATTATGGTACCACGGCCCTATTCGCCGCGTCGAAATTATCCTAGCCTTAAGCTGCAAGGCAGCGCCATCTCTTCGCATTGTGGGTAACCCACAATGTCAAATAAATACTTTTTCAATTATTAAACATTTGAAAGAAGAAATAGCAATTATAGTTATGTTTTTATTTATTTTTTAAGCATTTAACTGCTAGATGTTTAATTCTAAAAGTGGTAGCATAATGGTCAGTGCATTCGCCCGGATTGCGAAGGATGCGGGTTCGAGTCCCGTCCGCTGCCTGGTCCGCGTGGATTTTTTTCTAGTAAACTTTTCTTTAGATTCGCTGGTAACTCAAAATTCACGGCGTATTTCTGCGAAAATTCCTGACCTAAAAAATAATATTTTTATATGACATTGCAAGCCGAGTATAATTGATAATATTCAAATGTTTGTACAGGGTGATCAATGCGAGAAATGCATGCCGAATTTTGTGGGCGACCCCACGAACAACGGCCAGTGCGTGCCTTGCTCAATATTCTGCCACGGGCACACGACGGTATGCGTGAGCGATACATCAGAGACAAGGGACATTATTGCACCGGACCCAGAAGACTTCTATAGGGACCCGGCGGCGGCCAAGGCCCGTTGTTTGCGGTGCGATAACCACACCGAAGGCACGAGGTGCGAGAGATGCAACGAAGGTTACTTCAGGGGAACCGAGGATTTCCGAGACCCGTGCAGACCGTGAGTGTTGTTTTTCTCTTTATTAACATCGCGCTACATCTTGTTTCATATCGTGTTCTAGTATTTAATTCGTACTATTCTGTACAACCCGAACAAAGTTGATTTGTCCGGTGCATATGTCTTAACTCTCTAGCACAAGTAAACAAGTATCCATTACTGACTCGCTTGTTAGTTCTTGTTTTCTCCTTCCTCCTTCGATTTCTTCAGTCTTTTTGAAAACCATGTTTTGTCAAAATTCATTCTGTTGTCCTCGCTTGCTTCTGTTACGAATATTTATTCTTTTTCTCGTCACTACAACAATATTCTTAAACTACTATAATTTATACTAATATAAACATTTGTTTGTAAAGTATTGAATTACTGGACATCTGTAAAAGATAAATTTTCTACGTTATCAGTTGCGAATGCCACGGCCACGGTGATAGGTGCGACCCTGTGACCGGCGAGAAGTGCAACTGTGGCAACAACACCGAAAGCGACGCGTCCTGCCAAACATCTAGCTCTAGCAAGAACTCTGCGCAGGAGTGCTGGCGGTACCAATGTGTTAAATGCCGAGACTTGTATATGGGCGACCCGCGCAATGGACACCAATGCTACAAGACCATCAATATAGAGAACAAGCTGTGTTTCGACGGCAAGTCCATTGGTGAGTCTTTCTGTTTTAGCTTTAGGAATATTTTAGTGCTGGAGTGGAAAGGCAAGAAAAAAACCAACTGTCAACTTTCGTATAATTTTCCGGTTATGAGGAATGGAGTGTTGACACATTCTATTATGTGGTATTAGGGTTGCTTCATCTATTGGGCAATTTAGAGTACCTGTCTATTGTAACTTACCAAAGAAAATGAATAGATCGAGAAACTCACATTAGGCCCTCAGAAGTCATGGTAGTTATTGTAGACGTTCAACTGGCAACATATTGGATTGTATATAAAATGTAAGTCTATATCATTGGCTATCTATAAAACTGAATTGTATTTATTTGTCTTATATTTTTGTTCTAGATGAATGCAAGATCAAACCACGCCCATTATATCCAGGACAGACTGTATTCGTCGCAGTTAACCCTAGATACATGAACGTGGACATACGAGTCATAGTTGACGTCACACAAGGGGCGGTAGACTTGTACTTAAGTCCTAACGACAGCTCATTCGTGGTGGCTGTCAACGCCAGTAACGGAGCGCACACCGTAGAGCTAGATCCTACGTATTACAAGCACGAACCGTTCCGTAAAATGCCGTCTTTCGACGACCACGTCCCAGACAAGCGTCGACTGACTTGGTGGTATGACAAAACCGAATACACCCTAGCGGATTACAAGGCGAAAGATCTCGCGACCTACGTGACCGTCGATAGAAAGAACATTCTGCTTAGAGTGAGGAATCTGAGGAATCGCCTTGTGCTAACTCTGCCACAAAACGTGCACGATCTGACGCACACCAAGTTTTACATTATAATCAAGGCGAAGAGCACGGATGACGGAGCGGCGAGCTTCGGTGTAATATTCTTCCGACAGGACCAGCTCCACATAGATCTGTTCGTGTTCTTCTCTGTGTTCTTTTCGTGTTTCTTCTTGTTCCTCGCCGCGTGCGTCGTCGCGTGGAAAGCGAAACAAGCGGCCGATGTCAGGAGGGCTAGAAGACGACATGTAGTTGAGGTAAGTCCAAACACTTTTAGCATAAACATCAGCTTTATTCTTGCTCTCATTAATGGAACATTAATTTCCCCTTGAGAAGTATATGGGAAGCGTGATAGGTTTTCGATCTATAAAGTTAAGCAACTTTCGCAATGGTTACTCATAGAATGGGTGATTAAAAATTTACTATTTGAAGCTGCGCCATGCTTCGGAACGCACAAGCACGAGATGTGATTCTACCCGGTATTTTCCCAGTTAATACCCGAAGTGGTTAAATATAATTCAGTTATTTATTAAATAATTGTTTTACGTATTGAAATATAATCTTTATTGTCATGTCCACATTATTTAATATAGAAAATGTTTAATTTCAATTATTTATCTCCTTTATTCTACACGAAAGTGGCATGATTTGTTAAAAATTGATTTGTATGTAATTTTAGTGTATTTTTTCTCGTCTTACTATAATAAACTAAAGCTAAAAAATGACCTGGAAAATATCCAATAAATACCCAAATATTAATTTAAAGATCGCCCATCTCTAGTCATGGCCCTATCTTCCTTTTCCATCTATAGGGAAGGCTGGTGTCCCAGCAGTGGGAACATTTGAACAGTACGGGCCTATTCCAATATGCAGCAGACCTGGTGAGCACTGAAAGATGCTAATTACTGCAAATGTGGCTTGTGACTTGCCTAATAAACAAACCAAATTTTTACTAGAAAACATGAACTTCTGCCAGGTGCCCGACTGGAATTAAACCAGCACCCTTCCCTAGCCGAATGGACGTTTTAAATTCTTTCTAGTATTTCTTTAGGCTGAAAATCAGTAAAACAAACAGTTTAATACTTATAAAGTAAAGTTAATTGAAGTTGACAACGTATAGCGAAACTTGATAATATAAAAACATGGTTCCTGGTAATGGAATAAAATGTTTCACATCATTCACTATTATTGTTGTGTTTACAGCCTTACATTATCATTTAACGACATCAGTCCTGTTTATGGGCTATGGGCCCACTATGGCCCATAAACAGGACTGATGACTGTCACGGATATTAATAGAACGAGTGAAAGATAAAGAACGGAGGTCTTTTATCACTTTTTAATAGGATGAACATATTTTTTGGAATTATAAAATGAAATAATTGAATTTGAAATAAAAGTGACTCTATTTCTCTATTTATACTCTAATATTATCTAGTGGTTCGAATCCCGGTGGGGGCAGATGTTTGTGTGATGAATACGAGCATTTGTACTCCAGTCATGGATGTTTAATATGTATTTATATAAATATAGTTATATAATTACAGTATATGTATTCTATCCGTTACCCTAGCATCCCATAACACAAGCCTTATAGTGCTTACTTTGGGGCTAGGCTAATTGGTGTGGGTGTCGGAAATATTTATTTATTATTTATTTATTTATTCTGACTTTCTGACAGGGTAAAAATTTCGAAAATGTTATTTTTAAAAGTTATCACTTCTATTTATATAGAACCGTCGAGCGTAACTAATGTCGAATCGCGACATGTATATTTATTATTCGTTTCCTGTTTAAGCTACCACGCAAAGTTTCGGCTATAATAAATAAAAAAATATTTAGATGCTGCATATGGCGAAGCGTCCGTTCGCCTCAGTGACTGTGATGGTTGGCAGCGCGGGGCGACGTAAGAGGGCACCGGATCTGCGGCCCGTCGCCATCGAGCCCACGGGAGACGGCCGCGCCGCTGTCACCTCCGTGTTAGTGCGGTCAGTATCCACTCACTACTAGCGACCTCCACCTCCGTGCTAGTGCGGTCAGTATCTATTCACTACTAGCGGACTCCGCCTCCGTGCTAGTGCGGTCAGTAACCAATCACTACTAGCGGACTCCACCTACGTGCTAGTGCGTACAGTATCCACTCACTACTAGCGGACTCCACCTCCGTGCTAGTGCGGTCAGAATCCACCCACTACTAGCGGACTCCACCTCCGTGCTAGTGCGGTCAGTATCCACTCACTACTAGCGGACTCCACCTCCATGCTAGTGCGGTCAGTATCCATTCACTACTAGCGGACTACACCTCCGTGCTAGTGCGGTCCATGTCCATGCATTACTTGCGGAACCGACAAACAATTGCATACGTCGTCGCGACGGTACTAAAGAGGTTGTCCTGTCTGGTAAAAATATTGAAATAAAATACCTTAACCCGACTGCAGCGCCAACTATCGAGCAGAGCTATAAGAGGTTTTCCATATGTTCTTTAATCAACATCCTAAGTTTTTTTAGACCTACATATTATTTCTACTATATTCAAGCAGTTGTGAAGTTAGCAGCCTAGCAGTTCAGTGAGCTCAGACCATGACTTTCCCGCGCGCACCTACTATCAGTCTACATTGTTTATACTGCGCCGAGATTTGCACTAACTTCACAGACGTCTTAAACTTGTTACGCAATTTAGTGCCAAAACAGTTATATGCACACCCAACTCATATTTCTGGCAAAATTTTGTGAATAAAAACAAAACTAGGTACTTATACAAACAAACAAAATTTTACCATATTAAAGTTTCATTATCAATACTCGATAGGAAAAAACTGTTCATTTGTCTCCAACACTCTTACTTGTTAATCCCCTATGAGGGGGTTGTTTAGGAAAACTAAAATGACGAACTTTATCATTTATTTAGATAAGTAATCGTACCAAGTTTCAAGTCTGTTAACTAAACGAATATAATTTTTCATAAAAACTTTCATCCGCTATTTTTCGGGGGTGATTTTTAATTAAATCCTTTCATAATGCACCCATAGACCTCATAACCCTCCATCAAGACCCAGCGGTTTGGACTATGCGTTGATATGTCAGTCAGGTTCTTCTTTTAGATATTTAGATTAGTTATTAATGCAACTGTTGTATAATGAGGTGTATTAAAAGCCGAATGTGGATTTGATCGATTTATTGAATGCGTGTTTTAATACCTAAATATAATGGTTGCATACAAGACTATCTACACCCATGATATGAATCCTCTATAAAAGATTCTGAAAGTATGGTGCGTTATAAGAACTTAAAATTCATATATAGGAATTTTAAGTTTTTATATGTTTTTTTTAAATTATGACATTGGAGTTTTTAATGTTGGCAATAAGCTAACTATTACAAATCTTTAATAGCGGTTTTAAAGAATGGGTGTAGATAAAATATTTAATACAACGATATTAAATACCCTAGATACACCAACAAGAACAAAACAGTGCCCGAAACCTGACCAAAAGGGACACATTAGACGATCCACGGAGCTCGGTAAGATGATCGCATAGTAAAAAACAATATAAGGTATTATTTAAACACTGAAAGTCACCTTTTATTCATACTTTATAAGGTCTTCATTAAAACGCATGTGTCTTTATTAAATGCAAGCACGGAAAATTTTACGACTTATTGCTATATGCAGAAGAATATAGCCTTATTTCTTTGAATATACGCGCAAATCTGAATGCGCTGTTATTAATATAGTGGGTACGGACCGCGAGGAAAAGAGACGGCTATATTACCGACCATGCATTTGAATATCACAAATATTTTCTATTAAATCAGTTTTTAGTAAGTATGAGAATTTTCGCTTTAAATGTGTTAAATTAACAAACATTGATTAGATAACTGTCGAAAAAACAACACTGCATACTAAAGGTATTTTTATCACATTTTTTCACGGAGCTCTGCGGCAACTTGACTTTTAAACGGTCCGCGCGTGACTGTTAACCAAGAAGCGCTTCAGTGGTGTTCAAACACTTCTTGATTGGGACACATTTTGAACGCACGTGGTGTATCTAGGGTATTTAATATCGTTGATATAGTATAGTATATATACAAGATGTCTCAAAAGAAATTTTATATTTAGTGGATCGATTAAAAAAAAGTAAGCCGGTATATATATATAGAAAAAATGTTTATTAATTATTAAAATACAATTTTTGAGGATTTATTTCTTAAAAATAATATCGTCTAAATGTAGACCCTCGCGTTCTCGGCACTCATTTAATCGAACAGTAAAATTACTTTCGCGCTTCTGAATTGTAAGGTTCGGGTCATCACGAACAGACTGATTAACCTTGTCCACGTTTTCTACCGTTCTTGATGACCTAGGTCGCTCGGATTTTGATTTATCCAGCGTTGTACCAGTCTCTTCAAACTTTTGAACCCAATGTCGAATGAGAGGAATGCTTGGCGCATCATTTAAGTGGCGAAAACCTCGTATACTGCAGGATTAACTACGCGCTACAGTCGCCGAATCACCGTCTTTGTAAAACTTGCACGCACAACGCGCGGTCTGCTCCCAAGAAACGCTCCATAGCGACTGAATTCCCAAGAGCCAGGCTACCGATTGACATAACCCCCGCTCCCCACATGTCTATAATCCTATAATCCAAAACAACGCAAAAGGTAGATAGTTTAACCAACTTAATCATTTTATGTGGTGATAGCTCAGACATTAGAAAAAGGGACATACTGAATTCTTTTAATGAGTTATTAAAGTTACAAGGTGAAACTGACTGCAAAATATTGATCAGTGCTTTCCCTTATGCTAAAAACTTGACCTAGGATGAAAATAAGCGCATTTTTGATTTAAATACATACTTGTTTAATCTGATTAATCGTCATAGTGACGTCATTTTGTTTTTTGACATTAATAAATTTATTAGTAATTTTAAGCTGACTTCAGATACTATGTATCTTTCAAAAAAATCTCAGACACAATTAGCTAATTTGTTAGCTTTTAATTTACAATTTGTAAATAGTTCTTTTAAAGGTGACATTAGTACTTGTACTAATTCAAATCTTTTGATAAATTGTAGTTCTACAATAAACTCCTTAGATTTAAACTGAAGCGTATGACAAAAGTTAAGCCCCATTGTGTCAATATTATTCACCAAAATATCCAGGGCTTGGCCGGCAAAGACTTAGAGTTAGAATTATTAGCTAAAAGTCATGGAACTCATATCATGTGCATAACTGAACACTGGCTGCAACAACATGAAATGTCATTTTATTTAAACAATTTTCAACTATGCAGTGCATTTGTACGCACGATAGCTATTCATGGTGGGTCTTTAATTTTTGTAAAAGATCATGTGAAATGTAAGGAGAGAAAGGACATTGTAAGCCTTTCAGTGGAACGCCATGTTGAGCTGTCGTGTGTAGAGTTAGTAAATCTCTTATCTATTAGACAAGTCCGTCCCTCCGTCCGTCCGTCCGTGATGCTGTTTCAGCGGCCAAACCGTAAGAGATAGATATAGAGAATGTTTAAGTTATAAGTTAAGAATAGTCTGATAAGACTACAAACCGGATGTGAGTAACGTAGCACTTCCGGTTTTCGAGAAATCACATGATTTCTATTTCAAACGAAACCACACAAAATCTCCGAAGTTCTCAATTAATTAAATCCTTTTTTTTTTGTGAACATTTGGTTCACACGTTTGCTAGTTTGTATATAGTATGTGTATACCGGCCCCCCTCAGGAAACTTTGGTACATTTGAATCAGTCATGGAGGACTCACTAAATAAATTAAAAAATAAATCTGTAATAATATGTGGTGATTTTAATGTCAATCTACTTGAAAATAGCTCTTTAAGTCTTCGGCTAATTACCTTGTTTAAATGTTTGAATTTAAATTTCCAGTTTACTAAACCAACCGAGTAACATCTCACTCAGCCACTTGTTTAGACAACTTTTTTTCTGAGTTGGATGCAATTGAAAAGTCAGTGTTTAGTGATATTACTTCCGATCATCTCGGTTTAAAGACAACATACAGTTTCAATGTCAGTACTGAGCCGAACATAATGGAGTGTAGACCTATAACAAATGAGCGCGTAAATAGTTTTAAAAATAACATTAGCGATAAACTTCCTTTAATGCCTTGGACGCATGATGATCCGGATATTTTGTACAAAAATCTTTTTGATTTAATAAATAATGAATTTCAAAATACGTTCAGACCGAAAACCAGAGGTACACAGAGGTTGCAATTCTGTGACTGGGCGACAAGTGGTATATATATAAGTAGAATAAGACTGTATGAGCTATATAGAATCAAAGAATATAACCAGGACCCTGAGTTTATTAACTATGTTAGAAAATATTCCAAATTGTTTAAAAGCATATGTAATACTGCAAAGTCAAATTTTATTAGGGATAAAATTAAAAAATCTAATAATAAAATAAAGACCACTCGGGATGTCATAAAGCGCGAAAGTGGCAAGTGTAAGCCTCGTGAAAATAGCATGGTTCTTAAAATCAATAATAATTTAATAAAATCAAAACATGAAGTCGCAGATATTTTCGATAAATTCTTTATGAATATACCATTAGAAACTACTTCCAACTTGGACTCATCGTTTTGTGAAATTGTTTTGTTTGCAGATGACACCTCGCTAATTTTTAACGTTGACAGGTGTAAAACAAATTATGACGATGTAAACAATGCACTTTCCAAGATACTTCACTGGTTCTCTTCTAATAATCTTAAACTGAATGCGAGCAACACTAAATGTGTGAAATTTAATTTGCCGAATGTAAAGCATCCTGAAATAGGAGATATAATTCTAAATGGTGAAAAACTAATTTTAATCGATATAACCGTTTTCTTAGGCGTAACACTAGACCACAAACTTCAATGGAACCCTCACATTACAACACTAGCCGGTAAACTAAGTTCTGCTGCTTATGCAATTTATAAAATAAGACGGCTTACAGATGTCGACACTGCTA